CATTTTTGATGGATTGGACACAAAACAAATTAACCGTTTAGCTAATGTTAAAGGTATATTTTCTTTTGTATGTTTGGGGTGATGGCTATTGTAATTTAGATAATCATGGGAATTTGTAGGTTTATAAAAAATATCTGTTTCAATAATGTTGTTATCATGTAGAATAACTGTTATGTCTAAAAAGTTTAAAAATTTGGTACTCTGTGGTTTTCGTATATGAAATTTTAGATTGTTCTTCTGTATATTTGATATCGGGGTGTAAAAAATTAAGACACTTTAACAGCAAATTAACATTATTTGATTTTAATATAGCGACGAAATCATTATTAAAAGCTCATTATTAAAAGTAAAATTGTTCTTTAAAATAAAGTTCACGCTTTCTAAAATAAAAGCTTCTGTAAATCTGTTAGGTATATCATCACATAGTCTACATATCCAAAATTTAATTGCTTCTAAACCTAGTTGCGAGACACCTCCAGTTAATTTATTGACATTGCAGATAGGTGTTGGCAAGCAGATATTATTATGTATATATATATATATATATATATATATATATATATATATATATATATATTATATATATATATATATATATATATATATATATATATATATATATATATATATATATATTATATATATATATATATATATATATATATATATATATATATATATATATATATATATATATATATATATATATATATATAGATATATATATATATATATATATATATTATAAATATATATTATAAATATATATATATATATATATATATATTATAAATATATATATATATATATATATATATATATATATATATATATATATATATATATATATATATATATTATTAATATATATATATATAGTATGTGCCAAAATTGTCACCATGTTTGAACAAAAAAATATTTTATATATATTTTATTAGAAAAGCTGTGAAGAAAAATAAAATTTTAGTGAACTTAAAGTATTGCTTTTTATTAAATTTAGAGGATATTGCAGGCCTTGTTACGAGATTTCGCTGCGTAACGGAAAAGCGAAACGTGAATAAATGTAACTTTACTCAATAAAGATATTTATATTGTTAAAAGTTAAATTACATCAGTTGCATTTTTACTTCATTGTAATTAAATTTAAAATGACATTAAAAACTATTTGTTTTAAAGACTAACAAAAGTTAGTCTTTTAAACGAAATAGCTTTAAATTGAACAATGTTGTTATAAAAAAAAAATAAAGTTTTAATGTTGATTAAAAAAAAGTCTTCTTGTATTAAAATCTTATATTTATTTAAACTTATTTTTTTTGCTTTTAAACATTTGTTTTATGGTTGTTTTTTTTTAAATATATTTTTTTTAAATAATTTAAATTTAACACTTGTTTACGGTTGATTTTCTCAGGGATTTAAATGTACTTACAACTAAAAGCATAGATTGGGTTTTCCCCTTTTAAAAAAAACGTTTGCACTAACTGGTTTTGATAAAATAAATATTGTAAAGAAACGAAATTTACTGCTTTTTCGGCTTTGTTTTTTTTTTATTTCCATTAAAGTATTTTATTTTTATGTACAGTGAAACCTAATGTATTTTTACTATTTTTTTACTCAATCCAAAAAAAAAAATAGTGTTTTCGGTTTTAAGATGTTATAAGCAGAATTTGTTTTTAACAAATATCATTATAATTTTGAAATTTATGTATCTTATATTTATAGCTCTATTACAAGTTTTGTTTATAAAGTAAAATAAATATAAGTTGGGCTTTTAAAGAGTTTATTTACTGATCGCGTTATTTTTAATAGGTTTGAATTTTTTGGCGAATGGCAAAAGGAAACCCAAACATAACATTTATAACTCGACTTTTTTGTATTGACGTTATTTATGAAGTTGTAGTTATAAAATGAATAATGCGCTTCTGTAAATAATGAATGAAACTGTAAAATAATGGAAAAATAAAAACTGGAAAATAATGCGCTTTTGTTAAGCGCATTATTCAGACCAGTATTTGGAACTTACCTGAAACTTAACTGAAATTAAAATAAAGTTATATGTAATACGAACATTTTAAAGTAACTTGAATTAAATTTATTAATTTTTTTTTTACTTTGGAAATTTTATCATAAAAAAAAGAGAGCATTTTAAAATAAAAAAATTTCAAAATGCTCTGTTTTAAAATTAAATGAAAGAATTTTAACTAAATTTAATAAATTTATTTACTAAAAACTATAATTAATAAAAAAAGTTAAATTTAATAAAATAAATTGAAAAATATTTCTTTTTTTAAATTTAAGTGTTTTTAAACTTATGAAATATAAAACTTAATATTAAATATGATAAAAAGTTTAAACTTAAAACACTTATTTTTTTTAAACTAATTTTTAACAACAACAACAATAAAAATAATTGAAAAAATTTTTCTTTAACAAAAAATCTATTAGTTTACAATTGCGGTTAAATACTTTTACTTACGACTTTATTTTCTTCTGAATAAACGTCACATAAACGATATCAAATGATGATTTAAATATTCTAAAAGGTTAAAGTTTTTGTGTAACGAAAAACTGCTGAACGCGTAGGCAAATCGCCTTTTCGCAGGTAAAATGCGAGCTGCGTAACGATTCTTAACAAAACCTGATATTAAATTTTTTTTTTTCATTTTTATGTGAAGAGCTAATGGTGACAATTTTGTCGCAAATGAAAGCAAATAACATATTGTAGTAATTTAATATCGAGTGTATCCTCCCTTAGATTTAATTACAGCCTGAATTCTTTCAGGAAGACTAGCAACCAATTTGCGGCATTCCTCGGGTGTAATTGAGTACCCAACCTCTTGTACACGAGCCCAAAGTTCATCCTTATTCTTAGGTGGAGTAGGAAAGTTGTAGACCCGTTGTTTAACTATTGGCCATAAATTTTCGAGTGGGTTGAAATCAGGGCTTTGTGCTGGCCAGTCAACAATTTTCAATTTATTCTCGTGAATGAATTTAATGGTTTTATCAGCCTTATGCTTGGGGTCGTTGTCTTGCATGAAAATCGTGTTACGTACAGTTCTGCCCCATTTTCGAAGGGACTTGAAATATCCGACCTTGAGGATATTGATATAGTCATCAGCGTTCATTATTCCATTAATTTTCACTAATTCACCGACTCCACGAGCACAGAAACATCCCCAAAACAAGAACTTTCCTCTGCCATTTTTAATGGTTGGTGTAAAATCTCAAGCGCTTAATGGTGAATTAGGCTTTCTCCAAGTATATCTTATACCATCTGATCCAAACATATTAGTTTTACTTTCATCTGTCCAAATCGTCGTATGCCCAGTTAACTGTGGATAAATATGTTAATTGCTTTCATTCGCGACAAAATTGTCACCATTAGCTTTTCACATAAAAATTAAAAAAATTTAATATCTTCTAAATTTAATAAAAAGCAATATTTTTAGTTAGCTAAGTCTTAAATTTAATTAAGAAAACTAAAATTTCATTTTTCTTCTTTTCTAATAAAATTTATATAAAATATATTTTTGTTCAAACATGGTGATAATTTTGGCATATACTATATATATATATATATATATATATATATATATATATATATATATATATATATATATATATATATATATATATATATATATATATATATATATATATATATATATATATATATATATATATGACAGGAAAAACTTTAATTTTTTCCAAATAATTATGCAATTGATAGTTTTTTATTTATTATAAAAAACTATTTATTTATTATAAAAACATATCCATAATTTAAAAAGATTAGTTATAAAAATTTAAAACGCATTTTTAAAGGTTTTAAAAGAAACCATGCTAAAACTGGTTAGTTACTTCAATAGCGTTGAAAACGTGGTCAGTTACTTCAATAACATTACTTTTAAGTACAATAACTAAGTACACTATTAAAGAAAGTAATTATGTTTTAGCATGTTTTTTGCATGTTTTAAAAGAACCATGCAAACTTTTACTTAAAGTTAATGCATTTGGAATTACTTTAAAAGAAACCATGCTTAAACATGATTACTTTCTTCAAAAGCGTGCTTTCTTTTTTGAATTTTACTTTTATTTTCCTTAAAGTGAAGTAATATTTACTTGCACATTAAAAATACATTTCAAAAATTTGAAAAGTATTTTAAAGTTTTACTGAAACATAATCTAATAGAATATATCGAGTTATTTTTATTATAGTTTTCATTTTTTATCGTGAGTTTAACAACACCAATACTATGATATTTTTATTAACTTTTTATTACATTCATAATATGATATTATTTTTAAACTTTTTAAAAAAAAAATGTTTTCATTTATTTTATTTTTAGTTCCTTTTATTTTAATTTTTTCAAGTTTATGTTTTTTTAAGAGTAAATAAATTCAACAAACTAATTGAGAAAAGTTTACTATTTTGTATCAATTGATAACAGTTTTCAATCATTAGGTCTTTGCATAGTATTATTAATTTGCACTTATTTTGCAAATGCGTGAAAAATTGTTTTGAAAAAAGAAAAATTGATTGAATTCAGTAAGCATCTTTGATATATCTAATAACTTATTAACTAGAATAAAAATTATCTGAAAAAAAAAACTCCCTTATTTGACATGTATCTCTTAAATTAGATGTCAATAAATAAAGATTCATAAAAAAAACTATTTGTTGCACCTTGATATATATATATATATATATATATATATATATATATATATATATATATATATATATATATATTTGCCGACCTGAAACAATTCTAGGTCGACATTGCCCAATGCTGACCATAGTCCTGAGGGCTGATATATATATTTACTATGCAAATATGCAAGATATGCCATGTTTGCAATTATCATACTTTAATCATGTTAATGTTATAAGTGATGGTTTGCGACTATGCAATAAATACAGTATTACTGTTTGTTTTTTGTTTATTCCAATCAAAGTAAAAATGTATTGATTTTTAGTAATAGTGTTTCATTGTGTTTAGGTAGACTTTCAAGAGAATTTATTCAGGGAACGTGATGAATTGCGCAGAGAGCGTGATGAGTTACACAAAACTCTTGAAAATTTCAATAATAATCTTGCAAAGGTTCACTTTTTCATCATCAAAAATAATATTTTCTTTTATTTTTTTTTATTTTTGCATTGAACTTTTATTTTTTTAATATTTTTGCATTGAACTTTTTTATTCATTTAGATACAATCAGATGTACGTTTAATTACTACTGAACGTGATAATGTGCAATTTCTGTATGAGCAGGTTGTGTTCATTTAAAGATTTTTTTGTGTGTTTTGTTTATTTTTGTTGGTTCATTTTTTGCAGTCTATAAATACATCTATTTTACAGTCTATAAATACACGCATATATATATATATATATATATATATATATATATATATATATATATATATATATATATATATATATATATATATATATATATATATATATATGTATATGTATTTATATATATATATATATATGTATGTATATATATATATATATATATATACATATATACATATATACATATATACATATATACATATATATATATATATATATATATATATATATATATATATATATATATATATATATATATATATATATATATATATATATATATATATATATATATATATATAGTATATATATTACTGTTACCCGCAGTATCAGGAATTAGCTAAATGCTAATATTTATAATATTATATTGCGACTTAAAGTTTCATGTGTTACCACAATCATCAGGCAAGTAGTCAAAAGTTAATTTTGCTACAAAAAATTGTTATTGTTGTTGTTGTAGCAAAATTAACTTTTGACTACTTGCCTGATGATTGTGGTAACACATGAAACTTTAAGTCACAATATAATATTATAAATATTAGCATTTAGCTAATTCCTGATACTGCGGGTAACAGTAATATATATACTATATAGCTCTAGTTTATCTATTGAGCACTCTTTAAAATATACATTATTATACATGATAATATAAAGAAATCATCTTTAATATTTACATATATGCACCCACGTATATATATATATATATATATATATATATATATATATATATATATATATATATATATATATATATATATATATATATATATATAGTATATATATATATATATATATATATATATATATATATATATATATATATATATATATATATATATATAAATTTGTAAAAAATCCCTTAACAAAAATTTTTTTCAATTTACACTGTGTTTCATCAACAAAGACTCATCAGAAAAATATATATATATACAAACATACATACATACATACATACATATTTGTAAAATATTTTTCACAAAGTTATAAATTAAATTAAAGTATATTTATTTTAGGCTACAAGTGAAATACAAAGCATGCGACAAAAAATTAATAGACTAAAGACATCTGCATTATCTTCTGAAAAAATAACTGTTATACTTAAAAAAGCTGAGCATGAAAGAGATGAAGCATTATCAGAATTGCGGAAAGCTCGAAATGATATCCAATCATTAAGAAGCACAATTGAGGTTAAGAAAGTTTTTTAGAATAAGGTTATAGTAATATTACTTATTGAAAAATAAATTATCTTTTTTTAACTTTTCAATTTTTACTTGAACAACTTGTAAATATTTTTTTAAACTTCCTTAAAAATTAATTTTTTCTGGTTAACACATGTTTACCTTGCCAAACCTGAGGGTGCTCTACAATTTAGAAGAAATAAAGTTTTTTTTGTTAATATTTTACAATTAAATTATTATAAATTAACTTTTACTATTATGGAATATTATAATAAAAGATAATAAATATTTTTAGTCAACACAAGGAAAACAATCTTTAGAGAGGCAAATCAATGAAAATACACAAACAAATATTGAAGAGATCCTTTCAAAGGTTTTTCTAATAATTTAAAATGTTTTTTATGATTTTGATTTTTTAATTTATTTAAAATTTTAAAACATTTGCATGTTTCTGATGATACCGACAGAAAAACATAAAATCAAATTTTTTCATGATGCTGGTTTGCATTAATCAAATTTTGTTACAGCATAATTTAACTGGCTGTCGACTGCTGACCTGACAGTATCTGAGGTCGGTAATTTTTTGGCGACCTTAAAATTTTAAAACCTTATCTTATTTGCTATTTCAAGTTAATTAAAAATGGAAAAACAAGCACTTTATATTTCTATTAAAATTCTAAGGTATAACAGTTAAAATTTAAATGAAAAAGTCTCATTTCATATCTGAATAGAAAAATAAACAAACCTATTATTTAAATTCTAAATAAAATTATTAAAAACATACAACAAATCATTTATTTAAATTGTGAAAAAATTAATTTAAAAACACAACAGCAAAACAAGCATTTTCTTTCAATTCTAAATAAAATGATTCACATAACAAAACATGACCAGACACAACATAAAAGCAAGAAAACAAACATTTTAATTAAATTAAAAAAGAAAACTTCAAAAAAAAAAACTAATGTTTTTTTTTTTAATTTCTTTTAAAATAACTATTTAAAAAAAAGGCAAAACAAACATTTTATTTGAACTCTTTTTTGAAATTTTTGTAGTTTTTTTATATTTTAAAGCAAACATTTCCGAACATATTTTTGCTTTTCTATCAATTTAACGCTAAACTTTTGCACATTTGTTAGTCTCTATTTTAAAGTTTTGTGCCAACCTGATGCCGACTTAAAATGATTTTCAGTCAGCATTATTTTGCCAACCTTTTTTTTCTTAATTCCATTTTTTTTTTTTTTAAATTTGAATCCAAAAGAAAAAATATTAGTAACTCTTTTTAACTAATTGCAAAAGTATCTTTATTAAATGAAATTAGAAATTAGAATAAATGTGACAAAAGTAAGCAACATCAAAGTTTAATAATGAAATACTTTTGTCAATAACTATAATACAAATAGTTTTGTCAATATATACAAATAGTTTTGTCAATATTACAAATGCAAGAATATCATGTCTGATTTTCATTTTAGTAATTTATTGCACTACTTTTTGCTTTTACAGCTGCTTCTAAACATCTTGGTATGCTTTTTACAAACTTAAACGCTATGAATTTTAAGCCAATGGAGCTCCAAGTTTCACTAAGAACCTTATAAAATTCTGTTCTATTTGTTCATTTTGAAGGAGGCATTTTAGATTTTAAAATTGTTACTAAATTTTCAATGGGGTTTAGGTCCGGGCTTTGTGGCAGCCATTTAAGGATGTTAACTTTAATTTTTTTGAGGAACTGTTGAGGAACAAATTTTTTGAAAGCAAATCAAGATATAATTGTCCTGACATTATACCTTCAACATTCACCAGCCTACCCACAAAATTTGAAGCAAAGCATCCCTGAACCATAAGTGAGTCACCTCCATGCTTGACATTGCCGACCTGATGCCGACTTCTAAAAGAAATATATATATATATATATATATATATATATATATATATATATATATATATATATATATATATATATATATATACAATTAATTCCCAATAACTTGAACCTCCGAGGGATTGAGGAAAATGGTTTGACTTAATGAATGTTTGACTAAAGCAAATACTCGTTAAGTCAAATTTGACTGGTATAAGATGTTATTCAAGTTAAGGAGAATTTTCTTTATTCAATGCTCAAGTATAAACATTAAATATACACCATTATGCAACTCGCGAAATTAGGGTCAACATTCTCCAATGCCGACCTAACTGCGCACCTCAAAGTGATTGAGATTGGCAACTTTTTATGAGGGTTGATTATGCTAGTAAAAGCATAATAAATTTTTTCTAGAAAAAAAGGTGGCAGAACTCTACCTTTTTATTCATCAAAAATGAAGCAATAAACCTTACCCACAAGTTATCATATGCGCAATGCATTGTGGTTGTTGTATTCATTTAAATCTAAACAATCCAAATAAAGTTTTTAATTAAGTATATATCACGACAGTAATGAGTTGTTTCCGAGTTTTTTTCCGACATCTAAAGCTGTTTTTCACGAACTTTAACATGATGAACTTGTTGCTTTCAATAAAGAGAAATCTATAAACAGTATTTCAACTTGAACAAGAGACATTTATTTTAGTCAAATATGTAACTCACAATTTTATTAAGGATTATCTTGTTAAGGGGACTATATATATAGATAGTTATATATAGATAAGAAGAGCCAAATTATATATAAGGTAATACATATAAGTATATATATAGATAAGAAATATATAGAGAGATAAGAAGATTCGAAAAGCATCAAACTCTTGGCTATCGCCTATTTAAAGAAAATTTTGTAAAAATGTAAAAGCATAAACTTGTTTATTACAAAGTGTAGTATTGCAGCGTCTGTGAAACGTAAACAATACAAAGTTTTTACAAACTTATGCCAGTCTACTGGTAAAGTACTTTATGCTAAATGCAATTGAAAAGCTGATGTAGGAGGCTGTTGTAAGCATGTTGCTGCATCATTATACTAACTAGTTGACTATACAGAATCATAGGTTCCAGAAAGTAAAACACGTATAGACGTTTTACAGATATAGCATGTTTCAGGTGAATCAACCAACTCTGAAGCAATTTTATTTTCAAACTTAAAATTTAAAAAATTGATGCTTACAAATATTATGCTCGCAAAAGACCTTTAGTTTAAGGAATTCGTAAATATTGTTTTGCAATATTTTATGGAGTTCTAAAGATGTTTGCTGTTACAATTTTCTCACTCGTTGAAAGTTTTAAACATTTTTTGAAAGATTCTCTTTTTTAGCTTTTTCTATTATTTTTAATGCAGCTTAAAGTCCCATTTTTTGTGCTTAGGTATCGAACTTAACTGTTACTCTCTATTTTCGCCAAAGTAAGAAACTTTATAATCGGACCATTCTTTAGATATTTTTATTCCGATCTTAGCTTCTAAACCAAGTGATTACACTTTTTAACAGGTTGTGCAGCCAAGCCTTATTGAAAACACAGCCACTTGTTTTTGGAGCATAAAACTCTGTTTTATGCTCCAAAAACAAGTGGCTGTGTTTTCAGTACATTAGAGCTGTACAGCTGGCCAAGTTGCTGCACATTAGAGCATAAAACTCTGTTTTATGCTCTAATGTGCAGCAACTTGGCCAGCTGTAGTTGGTGTCTGCAGAAGATACTGTCTGCAGAAGGTAAATCTGGCATTGTAATTTTAATTTCTTGAGTTTCTTTTGCACTTAATTTGATTTTTTAATAAACCAAGAAGATACAAGGGAAATAGTGGACAATTTTTTGTTTGAATTTTTTTCATGTCAAGTCAGACAAAAAAAGCTTTGGTTTTTTAGTTAATGCATTTGTCTATCTACCGAAAGAAAAATGTTACTGTGAATTTGTTAATAAATAAAAACAATGAAATATCAAGTAGTTTTGTTTATTCTTAAAAAATTAAAATTTATTAAAAAAATTAGGTTTAAATTATTTAAGAAAATATTCATCTTAAGCATGAGCTCAGTCACTAACTACTTACTCCAACTACAAAACCTACACTCACCTTAGACTCCTGTATTTTGTTAGATGCAGTGTTTTTCCTAATGCACTTTCAAAATATCATGCCTGGTTTTCTCAAAGTACTGTTGCTGGAAGTAACTCCTTTTAACTACTCCAGGTCAGGTCAGGATAATCGAGATCAATCTTGCTACTGGTATCACGTAACCCAGTACCACCTGCCACAAGCCCTGCTGCCTTGCAGAGTGTGCTCTTCTTAGGCAAAAGCTAGGAGAAATAAACTCTGACTAAAAATGCCCCTGCCTTGGGGCTCTTGGTTGAGTAAAGGCTAGAGATGGTGTCTCGATAAAAACACTCATCTTGGGCAGATGTTAACTGCATCCAGCTAAACATCCCCTGCCTTGGGGCTCTTGGTTGAGTAAAGGCTAGAGATGGTGTCTCGATAAAAATACTCATCTTGGGCAGATGTTAACTGCATCCAGCTACTGTCTTGTAGAAGGCCTCCTAGGCAAAGACTTTAGGGGTAAGCAGAAAAATTCTGCTAACCAGCTTCGAACCCCTTCTTCATCTATTAGGCTGGCGTAGATGTAACCTGTGTTACATTGTTTCCTGCCTAGGATGATGAATGCTGGATCTCCTTGACTCTACTCATAGAATTTTGCTTATGCCTCCTTGATAATAGCTATGCAACTCTTCCTGTTATCTCCATATGAGGGTACAGCTCTAAAACTCAGTTTAATGGTTCTGAGGCCGGCTGGTAGTAAGGTTTCCCGAACTCTGTAGTAGCTCTCAGAGAGGCTAATTCCATCAACAGCTGCAAAATATCAGAGTATTAACAGTGCCATGTTGCGCATGGATGGTGTCCCTGTTAATGCTTTTGGTGTGCATTGTCAAGGCCACATAAGGAGCCCTATGTCACGGCTTAGGGTTAATTAACAGGATTGAGACAACTGCATAGCTCATTGATTAGGAGGCTGTGCTCTATCTATGAATGAGTCAAGTTCTCATTAAACCCAAATCATGACCAAAGTAACCAAAAATTTAAAACCTAAAAAACCATCCCCACCACCTAAATATTTTAATATATCTTTTACAAATATTCGCGGTCTACGAAGCAACTTTCCATCAGTTGAGTCTTACCTCCTGCAAAATTCACCAGACTTGCTTGCACTTAGTGAAACAAATTTAAATTTTGCAATTCCTTCTTCAGATGTCAGTGTTGATGGGTACTATCCTTTGATTCGTAAAGACTCAAATAGTCACATGCTAGATTTAGGGGTATACATACGCATTAATTCCCCTATTTGTCGTGAAATCAGGTTCGAATCCTTTGACCATTCTTTTATGTGCTTTCGCCTAGCACCTCTTCACTCTATCACCTTTCTCTTTGTTCTTTATCGTTCTCCTTCTTCCCATGATTGCACTCTTAGATGTTATCTCTGATCAAATTGACCATGCCCTCTCTCTTTACCCCTCTGCCAATATTGTTGTTGTTGGTGATTTTAATGCCCATCACACTGAATGCCTTGGCTCTAACACCACTGATCCTGCTGGCACTAAAGCCTTTAACTTCTGCGTTTCTCAATCTCTTACTCAGATAGTTAACTTTGTGACTTGTTTTCCTGACAACCCTAATCATTTACCTTCACTCCTTGACTTATGTCTTGTCTCTGACCCTAGCTTATGTTCAGTTTCTCTCTATGCTTCCTTAGGTGGTTCTGACCATGCAATGATCTCTATAAATCTTTCTTCTCGTACTTCTTTTTTAGGCTCACCTTATCATCGCACCACCTACTACTACCCTAAAGCTGACTGGGATTCCTTTTGTGATTTTCTTCGTGATGGTCCTTGGGCTGATGTTTTTTCTCTCTCAGCTGACAAATGCGCCTCCTACGTAACCTCCTGGATTCAGGCTGGAATGGAAGCTTTCATTCCTTGCGTCGGTTTCAAGTCAAGCCTCATTCTACTCCATGGTTTTTTCCTTCTTGTGTGGCTGCTATATCCAATCGTAATCATTTTTTTCATCTATTTCAAAAGAACAACTCTCTTGAGAACAAACGGCTATTTATTATTGCAAGAAATCGATGTAAAAAGGTGCTTTCTGATGCTAAACTCCATTATTCTCAGTTCACTAAATCTCGCATCTTATCGCAGAAGTTAGGCTCTAAAGACTTTTTGAAAATCTTCAACAGCATTATTACAAGGGTAGATCTAACATTCCATCTCTCATTCATGGGACTGATCTTATTACCTCTCCCAAGGATAAGGCAGAACTATTTGCAAAGAACTTTTCTTCTAATGCCACTCTTGAATCTTATGGACATTCTCTTCCTTCCATTTCAGTCAAACAGGTTGACCCATTGTTAGACATTCAAATCACTCCGGCTTCTGTTGCAAAAGTCATATCTCAATTAAACTCGTCTACAGCTTGTGGTCCAGACAACATTCCTGTCATAGTCTTGCAGAATTATTCTCCAGAACTTTCTTCAATTCTCTCTAAACTATTTAACAAGTGTTTGACTGAGTCTTGTTTTCCTGCTTGTTGGAAAATGACATCTGTAGTTCCAATATTCAAAAACTCTGGAGAAAAATCTGACCCCTCCAATTATCGTCCGATCAGTCTTCTCTCTGTTATTAGCAAGGTCTTTGAGTTTTTGATCAACGAATTCCTCACATCTCATCTTGAGTCAAATAAACTGCTGTCAGACAATCAATTCTGGGGTTCCCCAAGGTTCCATCTTGGGCCCTGTTTTGTTTCTTATCTACATAAACGATCTTCCTGACAACCTTTCATCTAAAGTAGCTCTTTTTGCTGATGACTCAACTTTATACTCCTGTCTTGACAAAAAGTCTTCTCTTTTCGATCGCCTAGAACAAGCAGCTGATCTTGAATCTGATCTCACTTCAGTAATAGATTGGGGTTTACAGTGGCTTGTGAATTTCAACTCTAAAAAAACCCAGTTGCTTACTGCAAACAACTACCGTAATATGGTCAACATTCCTATATTAATGAATGGCAATCCTCTTACTGAGTCGTCCTCTTTACGTCTTCTTGGATTATCGCTTACTACTGACCTTTCATGGAAACCATATATACAATCGATTGCTAAATTAGCTTCTGCTAAGGTTGCTTCTCTTTATCGTGCTCGCCATTTCCTTACTTCTGATTCTATTCTCTACCTCTACAAATCTCTTATTCGTCCCTGTATGGAATATTGTTGTCATATTTGGGCTGGTTCTTCTAACGATTCACTTTCTCTTCTTGACAAGGTTCAAAATCGCATTGTAAATGTTGTTGGACCTGGACTATCTGCTAAGCTTGAACCTCTTTCCCATCGTGGTAAAGTTGCATCTCTTTCTCTTTTCTACAAATACTATCATTGTCACTGCTCAAAGGAGTTATCATATCTAGTTCCATCAACTAAAATTCATTCTCGTTTTACTCGTCATTCAGCTAAATCTCATTTGTTTACTGTATCTGTCCCTGCATGCTCTAAAAACATTTATTCATCTAGTTTTTTTCCCCGCACTTCAATCTTTTGGAACTCTCTTCCATCTTCATGTTTTCCTGACTCATACAACCTTCAATTTTTCTAGTCTTCTGTCAACCGTTTCCTTGCTCTATAACTCTGTTCTTTTTTTTCCTAGTAACTCCCAACTTAATAGTGGTTGCTTGCAGCCTTGTTGGGAGTGAATGCAAATAAAAAAAAAAAATTAAATTAAAAAAAAAAAATTTTTATAGATTTTTGTTTAACTTATTATTAATGTAAGTTTTTTCTAAAATTTTAGTAATTCTGTTTTACTAGAGTACAATACTTTGTTACTAGAATACATTAATTTGTTACAAGTTAATATTTTTTATATTTTTGCATTATTCTTTTAGACTGATTCTGAAAATGAAAGATTAAAGATCCAAATAGAATCTAAAGAAAACTTAATTGAAAGATTAGAAGCTGAATTGAAATCAACATCTAAATCACTGCAGAGAATCAAAGAAGAATTATCTGGCAAAGAAGCTGAGTTAGCTAAATGTAAACTGCTATATGAAAAATCTGATCGTTCTTGTAATGAATTAGAAAATAAATTGAAAGATAAAATGAATGAGCTTCATAATTATACAGATGAATCACAAAGGCTTAAAGAGAAATGTGGTATAATTTTTATTTTAATAGTTAGTATTATCCTGGTTATTTTTTATGTCGTGAACAAATATTAATATTTATAATAAAGAATCTTAATATTTTTTTCTAATTCTGATATTTAAATACTAAATAATACATTTTTTATAATTCTTTTATAGTTTAAAAAAAGTATAAGTATATAAGTTACCTTACATAACTTTACTCTGCTAGCCTAGCTAAATTTGGTTTTAGTTTAATAAATGGTGAATATTAAAAATGGTGAATAGGAAAATATTATATCTCAGATTTAGCTGAAGATCGGAATGGTGAATATAAAAAAGAAGTATCCCGATTAAAAGGTGTTGTGACACGATTAGATAAAGAGCGAGATATGCTTCAACAACAAGTGGATGAAAAAGCAGAAATTCTTGATAAACTGAATATTGAGCTGCAGCAACAACAACAAGCTCACTCACAACTCAAGATTGCGATTGAAGGAATTAATGAGAAGTTAAAGTAATTATTTTTTATACCTGTTCATATTTTAATATTATCATAAAAGTGTAGTTATAGCAACCAGCAGGTCAAGTGACTAGGTTTTGGTTCCTGGTCCCATTTAACCTTAGTTTTGCTTAAATTTTTAATTAGCAGCTAATAAATTTTTTTCTGTTGTTTTAAAAAACTAAAAATTGAATATTAATGCATAATAAAAAAATTATAATTATAATAAATTATAATTTTATGTTGTCATGTTAAAAATATTTAGATTAAAAAAAAAATTTTAACGTAAATATTTTTTCTTTTCTTAGTCTTTCTGAAAACTTAAACAATTAACAAGAATTCTGAAAATTCTTGTTAATTGTTAAAGTTTGATAATCTTAGATTGTTAATTGTTAAAGTTTGATAATCTTAGATTGTTAATTGTTAAAGTTTGATAATCTTAGATTGTTAATTGTTAAAGTTTGATAATCTTAGATTGTTAATTGTTAAAGTTTGATAATCTTAGATTGTTAATTGTTAAAGTTTGATAATCTTAGATTGTTAATTGTTAAAGTTTGATAATCTTAGATTGTTAATTGTTAAAGTTTGATAATCTTAGATTGTTAATTGTTAAAGTTTGATAATCTTAGATTGTTAATTGTTAAAGTTCGATAATCTTAGATTGTTAATTGTTAAAGTTTGATAATCTTAGATTGTTAATTGTTAAAGTTTGATAATCTTAGATTGTTAATTGTTAAAGTTTGATTATCTTAGATTGTTAATTGTTAAAGTTTGATAATCTTAGATTGTTAATTGTTAAAGTTTGATAATCTTAGATTGTTAATTGTTAAAGTTTGATAATCTTAGATTGTTTTTTATAAAATCTTTAAAATCAGATATATAAGCATAACATTGCTCTCAAAAATATCATGCGGTAGTGGTTTAGTGTTTGATCACTTGTTTCTCTACACAGCAGCCTTGTTCATTAAGGTACATGTTTTGGAGTTATAGAGTTGAGAGACGATTATAACCACAACTAAAGTAGCTTCCTTAAACTGTAGTGGCCTTCTTGGGGAGGTGAATTAACATAAAAAACAACAACAACAAAAAAGTAATGTTATACTCATATTGCATGCAAAATTTATTTTAAGTAACATGCTTGAAAATTAGTTTAAATTTATTATGGATTTTTATTAACACAAATTTGATTGGTTCATAGCATAAAAACTTTAAATCAACTTGGATCCAACAAACTTAAGTCTTTAAAAAATATATAAATGATTGTTGTATTTTGATTGTTATTGTATTTTTGAATAGTTTTAATTTAAAATCTGTAAAAGTTTATTTTATTATAAAAACTTGAATATGATAAGTAAAAGTGTTTATAATTTTAAAGATTTTCATTAAAAAAGGTCCTCTGACCAGCAGCTGATGTTAAAAGACCGTGAAATTAGTAAATTATCAAAACAAATCAGAGATCTTGAAGAAGAGCTCGCTGGAGTTTCTCAATCTAGAGCTGCTACCATAAAAGAGAATAAAAGATTACATGATGATCTCATTACTATGACTGAGGAAAATCAGATAGTTCATCAAGACCTCAGATACACTTTAGAAGAAGCAGAACGTTTGAAACAAGAAGTTTCAGAATATGTCATGCAGTTGTCAAGAATACAAAATCTTCTGGCTCAAAAAGTATGTTTTTATACGTTTTTGATATTACTTAATAGAAACCCTTAAGACTATTGTGTTAACACTCAAGATGAAAGTGTGATAATATTGTTTTTTAAAAATATTGCCTATATAAAACCCTAATATTAAATGGGGAGAGTTTCAACCTAACGGATGATTTGGAGAACAGTGATATCATAGCAATCTTGTTATCATAGCAATAAGTTAGCAACAAAAATATTGTATAAAATATCAGTGAAAATCACTTAATCAGTCAAAAAAAAAGAATGAACAAATATAATATTAAATTGATTTAAAATTAATGACTATCTATATCCATATTATATATTCATATAATGTATATCTAGAACATTTTGAATAATAATAAGTATGAAGTAAAATAATTATTTTGAATTTATAGGAACTTGAAAAAGATGATCTGCTTCTTCAATACAAAACGCTTAGCAACAAAGCTGACATACTAGAAAGTAGTGTTCAACAGAGTGAGGACAGTAAAGTGAAGATTGCTAGCAGCTTTAACAATACTCAACAAGTAAGAATAAAAAAGATACAGTGATGATTATGATAGTAATGATGATGATGATGATTCTTACTTTTAGGAGCTTTTGTATTTACGAGATCAATGCGCAATTTTAGAGTCCGATATTGAACATCACATAAGTACACAAATATCATATGAAAAACAGTTAAATCATCTCAATGAATCGATTCTTCACACTGATGCTCAGCTCGTTGCATGCAATGAAGAAAAGGTTTTTTTTTAAGTTTCTTTTTCTTTTTTTTTTAGCATGTTTATGGTACAATTTTTAATGCTGATATTTTTTTAGATATTTTAAGCATTATATTATTTTAATAGCAAAGTATCTTAGAAGAGTTGTATGCTGTCCGTGACTTGTGTGTGAAGTTGGATCATGCCAAAGATGAACTTTCTAAGATACTTACTAAAAAAACAAAAGAGCTCGAAAAGGTTTGCATTTTTAATTTATATATAATAATTTCATATATAATTACATAATATTTGCATATATTAAATTAAATAATATATGCAATGTATATAATTATATGTATATAATAGATATCATTATACCAGTGTTTCACAGGAAGACCTCTGGTCACACACAATTATATGACCACACAAAAAGTACTTTTTTTTGACAATTTGACCATGGCTTTTAACATGTTTTCAAAATTTAAAAATGTGCTTAAAAAATTTACTCAAACTTATCTAAAATAAACTTTACTTTAAAAAAGAACAGAAAACCTTAACAAAAGAGAAAATAAAAATAAAAACCCAACTAAAACAAAACTCAAACTAAAATGCATGGTTTATATAAAGTAAAATAGTTTATTTAAATCATGTTTTTAATTATGTTTGGAATAATTTTTAATCTTATTAATGTTTTATATAATATTATCGGAAACCCTTAAAATAAAAAGAACAAATTACTTTTGTTTTAAATTTTTTTTTAAATACTTTATTTAAATTATAGCGTTTTTTTTTTTTACTAATTTAAAAATATCAGTTTCCATGTAAATGAAACTAGTAAATAATTACGCATTAAAAAAGCCATTTCATTCTTTGTTTTAACATTTTTAATTTTTTAATTTGTTTCAAAATATTACCATTTATCATAAAAAATACATAATTGTACAAATAAAAAAATTAAAAAAAACAGTTTATTAATACTTATTATAAAAGTTCATTAAAAGTGTTTTGTTACTTTATTAAAAAGTGTTTCAATGATATATATATATATATATATATATATATATATATATATATATATATATATATATATATATATATATATATATATATATATATATATATATATATATATATATATATATATATATATATATATATATATATAAAACAGTTCATTAATACTTTATAAAAAATTCATTAGAAGTGTTTTGTTACTTTATTAAAAAGTGTTTCGATAAGGTAAAAGCATTAAAGATCAAACTTATTTAATTATAACAGCTTTTAAAAACATTTGTTTTTTATTTTCAACAAATTTTTTTTATCTTTTTAAATGTTTTAACTTTAATGATTCATTAATTACAATTCGTTGAAGAGACTTTTGTTATCTTAAAAAGTCATTGTTTATAAAAACAAAATAAAATTTTTTATTTTATAATAACGTTCATTATAAAAAATGCATACTTAAATAATTTATATTATATAAATTATAATTTATATAATATAAATTATATACAACTGTCAATTATACTTTAAAAAAAAAAAACATTATCAGTAAACTGTTACTTTACTTTAAAAGTGTTTTGCTAATATAAAAATGTTTAAGAAGTTTTGATGTAATTTATTTCACCTAAGGTATAATTCAGAATATTTTTATTGAGAACATTTTTGAAATATTTTTTGAAATAGCCGTGGTCAAATTGTCAATCAGGACAACAAGATAAAGGGAGCAAATTCCAAATAACTGGTGTTTGAGGGGAAAAAAGACAAATAAAAATTTTTACTTAGTATTTAGGAACAGTCACAGTACAAGGTTGAGACTTAATTGAATTAAGAGAAATGCGAGAATGAATTTTAGTAAATGGCACAAGAGGCACTACCTTTTTAGAGCAATGCCCACTATAGTATTTATAGAAAAAAGAAAGAGAAGCAATATTACGATGATGTGAATTGTTGAAGGTTGGCTGCAAGAGCAGGTTCAATTAAGTTTACAATGCGTTTTTGCACCTTGTCTAAAAGAAAAAGGGTATCATTCCATGTTCCTCTTTAGATATGGCAACAGTATTCCATACAAGGATGGATTTGAGATTTATGGAGATAAAGAATAGAATCCGGAGTAAGAAAGTGGCAAGCACGATAAAGTAACTTTAGCAGATGCTAATTTTGCAATGGATTTGATATACCATTTCCAAGAAAGATCTGAAGTAAGAATTAATCCTAGAAAACAAAGTGAAGATGACTCATTGAGTATAATACCATTCATAAATAGTTAATCCTAGAAGATGAAGAGTAGATGACACATCGAGTACCGTTCATAAATATAGGAAGATCTAAATTATTGTATAATAACATCGAGTACCATTCATAAATATTGGAAGATCTAAATTATTGTGATAATGATTAATTGAAGAAAATAGACTTTTATCTGAGTAAAAGTTCACCAGTCGCTAAGACCCCCATATAAAATATAAATATATTTTATAAGCATATAAATATATTTTGAATATAAGTTCAGAATTCAAATGTCTGATGGTAACTCGATAAGTTTGACTCCTTTAAAGAAAAAAATTTTTTTTCTGTTATTTCGAGTTTTTTTTCTTGAAATTCTTAATAATAAACTTTGTCTGTTATATTTCTTATGTTGAATGCTTTCAAATTAACTAAATTTTTATAAAATTCCTTATTAAAACTCTTTTTTATGAATAAGCACAAATCTCTTTTGATGTTTTTTATATTCCTTGAGTTTGCAGGCTTGGTCAGGAAGCGGGAGCGATTACTCTCGATTGCTGACCACGTAAATAATATTTAGTTGCGAAAAGCTGGCCAGATTTTTTAGTCGTTTTGAGAACATTTTTAAAAGCAAAAAAAAAAAGCGATAAAGATTAATTGGACCGATGAGAGACAATTACAAAAAAAAAAAATTAAAGCTAAATAAATTACGTTTAGAACAAATATTTTCGAAACATTGCTCTTTTATAATTTTTTTTATAAAATTAAGCGATGTTTTTTATATAAAGTAACAACTTACGATTGTTTAAAAAGGAAACAAATATTCTTTATTAACAAAGTTTGCAAGTTTTAGTTTTATAAAATTATTTTATAAATAAAAAAGTTTATTTTTTTAATACCTATTTTATGTTTCAAGTAGTTTGAAAAGTTTAACATATTTGAAGCAATTCTTCTTAGTAAGATAAACAAATGAAATAATTAAATCATTGAATTACTATAGAAATTAAATTAACAAGATAGAAATCAACTAAAAAGATTAAAAATACTTAATGACGAGGAAGCGAAACTGCTTCACAATATAGCTGATGATGTTTAGTGAGTGGGCTTTTTAATTTTAATTAGTATTTAAAGCAGAAAAAAGTATAACAAGTTTTAAGAATGGCAACTTAAGCGAAAATAATTAGAGTTAGTAAACCAATATCTAGAAACTTTTCTTTGTATCTAATTATTTGCTATAAATATTTGTGTTCTGTCATACGCAGTGCTTGTTCATCCGCAAGTTACTTTATATGCATTGTTTGTGTTTAGTAACCAGAAACTTCTTATATGTTTGTTACATAATTAATTTTATTAATTTGGACGATTATAACTTCATTGAAAACGCAAATATCTTTGTAAGTCTTTGTTTAAATCATAAAAATTGCTTTAAAAGATACATTACGATAAAAAACAGATACACACAATTACATTTACATAAAGAACACATACTTTTTAAATAAAAAATAAGAATATACTAATAAAATCTATAATTTATAATAAACTTTTAAAATTTTGACAATTTAATTAATATATATTTAAAAATTTTATTTTTGTAAACAAATAGTATATATTCTTAAAACAATTTATGCTAGAAATCTCAAAATGTAACAAATCGTGAATAATACAATTTCTAAAACATTTCAACAGAATACTCTAGAACTTTATTTCGCTTAGTCAGCATATTTTTTGAACCAATAGAATTAGTTTGTTCGTTAATTTCGCGGGTTTTTAGTGTTCGCGAATATTCTTTTTATTCTTTCACACCAAGATATTTTGAGAACATTCAAGTTGTTTATGTTTCCATGTATGTTCGTAAAACAAAAATTTTTTGTTTAGTACATAAACTTAAATGTTCTCAAAACTACTAAAAAACCTGGCCAGTTTTTTGCAACTAAATATAATTTCTGTGGTCAGTATTCAAGAGCAATCGCTCCCGCTTCCCGACCAAGCCTGAATTTGTGGTTGTTACTTGTTATTTCTTTTGTTTAATTACCTTGTAATCAATGCTTATCAACTTTTAAAACACAAACTGAAATTTTTTTAATGTTTAAAAAACATAAAAAAAGCATATTTATTTAAAAATAAAGATAAAGTTGAAAAAAATATTATTGCTTGATTGTTGTGTTTACTCCACACAAAAAAAAGTTTTATGGCTTAATGAATAATTGGAAGCAGCAAGTTTTAATAATGAAACTACCAAAATATCATTTTTAACAATAGACATCAGCTGGAAGGTTAGAACCAAGTTATCTATCAACTCCCAACAATAACACACAACAATAGTACATAGTATGAGATATTTGTAAGTATACATTAAATTGATAAATGTTAACAGATATTAATGCTGCTCGGCACTAAATGCTGCTAAATAAGACCACTTGAATCACAAGGACAGCAAACTTGTTCTTCACATTTTCCAATAATGCAACTTTTAAAACATGGCGACATATTATAAATAAATGTAAATATATAAACTATAAACACATATATGCATATATAAGCATACTTATCAAAAACTATAAATTAAAAACATTTGTGTAATATTTACTAAGATACCGTGATATCCATGCTATCATCTTTAAAAAATATACTATTAAACAATCTAGTTCTTGAAAATGCAACAACACATAGCATTTATTTAACCAGTTCAACTTACTGAAGGATCTCCTGGCAAGTGTTGTAATTGTTTAGACTTTAATGATTGTTTAAAAGTTATTTTATTCCGTTAAGATTGTAAATTAAGAGCATGAGAAAATCTAATGTTTTTGTAACATTTTTCACCTACCATATGTTAAATGGTACCTTACCATACCTTAAATGGTACCATACCTTACATAGGGTGTTCATCATTTTTGAAAAACAAACTATTGAATGTTCTTAAATACAAAACATTTCCATGAGAGAAATACATTTAAATTTTTTATAAATATACACTTTAAATATTTAATCAACATTTAACCTTGTTTTTGATTGGATATCATTGAATATGCCAATCTGACAGGAAACTGATGAAGCTTTAAAAAAATGGTAGATTTGAACTCAATGGAGCTAACTAAATTCAAGTAACCTGTTTACCGTCTGAAACACCTGTCAAAAACACTGCATCAAAAAAATTATTTTGAAGTACACAAACTTTATTTCTAAATTTCTAAATTAGCGCCTAAATAAATTTTGACTTCATCTGGTAGACAATCAAGCATTTCTTCATTAATTATAAATAAATCCATGTTAATGGGTGTTAAAATCACAAAACTGAACTGAAATCGCACTTTACTTAAAAATCTATCAGTCATTTTTAACTTTTTAAGAACCTCAACAAAATGTAAAGAAAACAAAAAAACGTTTATTCATTAAAACTACTAATATTAATTGTAAAGTTACAAACTAATACTAACAACTATAAACCAACAACTAACAACTAAAAACCTATACTAAATTATAAAATTAAACAACATTCTTTGAAAGCAAGGAAAGATTATAAAAAAGATTTTTTTAATTTGCAAGACTTGCTTGGAAAGCTATGTGATCTTAAAGGAAAGCTTCAGAAGAATTTTAGAAAAGCCTAGGAGCTACATAAAAACTTTACAGTGTTTTGAAGTTTTTTTTGTTTCTTTTTGTTTTCCCATGTTGTACAATCATTATCAACATCAGTAATAAATTCACAAGGTGTGTTTTTACTACACCCTTACAGGGTGTTAATATTCAAATGCTATAAATCAGTATAAATGCTGACTTTTTATTAATAGTAATTTTTATATGTTGAATTTTATTTTTGTGTTTCTTTTTATAGACTGAACTTCTTTTAAATGAAGCAAGAGCTGAAGTTGAAGTTCTTAAAAGACAGGTATTTTAAAATATATCCAAATAGTTTTATGTCATTAAAAGACAGGTATTTTAAAATATATCCAAATAGTTTTATGTCATTAAAAGACAGGTATTTTAAAATATATCCATAGTTTTATGTCATTAAAAGACAGGTATTTTAAAATATATCCAAATAGTTTTATGTCATTAAAAGACAGGTATTTTAAAATATATCCAAATAGTTTACTAAAACTTTATACAAGGAAGCAAACAGAAACATGGTTGATTGATCCAGTTGGTCCATAAATTTGATTAGGCTTATATTTGAACCAATCAGATTGTAGTGTGATAAAATAGTCATTAAAGCATGAAATAATGCAATTTTTTTCTACTACAAGCAAAAGTAAATTTGGCAGAAAAAAAGAAAATTGATCAAAAAATATAAAAAGAACTTTAGAAGGAAAAGTTACTTGATTTTGGATCGAAAGATGTCTATAATATAATACGGATGCTAAAAAATCATCAAAATCCTAATATTTTTTCTTGATTATTTGCTTTAGCTTGATTCAATTTTTGTTTATTCTAATTCTAATAAGATATAAAGTTGTCTCAAATGTAGAAGGTGTAACATTGATGTAGAAGGTTTAAGATTGAACAAACTTTAAACTTGCATAGAGATAAAGAAAACATGCAAATCATGAACAAATATGTTTAAGTTATTTTAATCTAAATTTTCTATAAATCTCAACTATCATTTTTCAGAAATTTAACTCCAATATATGCCATATGTAAAACAAGTTCTTTCAGGTTACTCTATAAAATCAGTTATACAGCAGGCATCAGAAGGATCCTGCTGCAGAAGGTGCCAAAAAGAAAAAAATAACCTGATGGTATAAAAACCTAGCTCTACACATGTTGAAAGTTGCTTATTTGGCTAGTTTTCACAATGTAGCTCTACATACTCTAGTACTTACAAGATTTGTGTTATAACACTTATAACTTCAGTATTTTTGTGTTGTAACACTTATAACTTCAGTATTTTTGTGTTATAATACTTATAACTTCAGTATTTTTGTGTTATAACACTTATAACTTCAGTATTTTTTTATAAAAATTTGAGAACATGTAAAATTTGTAAAAATAATTTTATTTGTTTAACATTTAATTCTTAATTAATGTTGTAACAAATGTCTATCAATTTTAAAAACTATTAAATGCTCTTAGACATAATGCTGAACATGTGAAGAGCAAGGTTTTTTAAATGCCAACTTGATCAAATTCTTAAGCATTACTTTTGTTAATAGTGATTAAATATGCTAATCGGACAAGGCATTTATGATATTTTAGAAATAAAGGTAAACTAGAGTCTGATGCACAAAAGCCATTCTTGAGTAAGCATTTTTTAAATGTTTTTTTTACAATACCTTCAAACTTTGTTATCATCATGAAACATCTAAAGTGTAAGTTTTTAAATATTTTAGCTTCAAAAATTCAAAAAGTTATCTGGGTACAGATAACTTTTTGAATTGTTTTGCTTTTTTTATTCACCAAGAATCAAGTACCAAGAATCAAGTATTTTGATTGGATGATAATAATGAATGATATTGGATTATACTTTAACGATAAAATTACTGTTTGTTTGTTTGTTTGTTTTATTACTTTTTTTCTTTATTACTTATCCTTTCATAGTACCAAATAGTGAAGTTTCAGTATCATTAAAAAAAAAAAAAATCAATATTAAAAAGATTTTTATAAACAAGTTTCCATAGTTACTAACCTTCAGATTCTAAAGTCTTTCCCTATTAAATATATGGCATAAAAATAATTCATGAGAAATTTCTTGATGTTCATGAATTTATTATTAACAGCTATTTTTTTTTTTTTTTTTTTTCGCAACAATTATTGTTGAATATAAAATAGACATTTTCAATGAAACAAATCTTTTTAAATAAAAAACGGCTAAAAGTAATTAGTAGAAGTCTGTTGTTTAATTTTTTCAGATAAATTTTTCCATAATCCATAAATCCGGTTTAATTGGTTAATCATGTTGACTAGTTTACTGATATGTTTTTAACTTTTTTAAAGTTGAAATTATATTTATCAAAATCAATCATCAAAACCTGGTTAACTGGTCTAGTACATGGACCAGTTAACCAGGTTTTCAACTTGAACCCACTTGAGAAGCAAGTTGATAGGCCAGGTTAGCGGGTTGGGTCTGGGTGCCACACCTGTTTAATACCAAATATCGAGCTATAGTTATACACCACAATTACTTTAATTCTCCACTCCAACACTTACCAGGCTTTCTTATTGATATATATAATTAAAATATAATATATATTATTGCTCTGAAAACACTTTTTTTTCCAAATATCAAACACTTTTTTTTCCAAATACCAGGATTAATTATTTTCTTTATTAGGTTGATTTAAGTTGTGTTAAAACATTCTTTGCTATGTTAGTAACTTTTTTTATTATCTCTCTTTTTTCTAGTTTGTGCAGGAGAAAAGAAAAATTGAACCGCTTGAAAAGATTATTTCAACTAATCGTGAAAAAATGTTTTATGAGCAGAATTCATTAGAAGTAAAGTCTCAAGAAGTTGATGCTTTGAACGATCAACTTAAAAAATGTGAATATGAAAAGTAAGTTTTACTATCAAGTGAAATACAACCAAAGAAATACACCCAAAGAATTACACTCTAAGATATTCAACAATTACACTTTAAAAAAATTTATTTTATATTATTTTATTTGCATTTATAAATGAGTACATTAAGAAGTACTTTAAAATTTTTTTAATTTTAAATTTTTGCAATTTAAACAGCACTATCCCAATATCTCCCAATGGGTCACCACTTCAAAATGCAAAAATGCATTTTGAATTTATTGATAAATTTTGATAAATTATCAAAAATCAATAAATTAGATTTATTGATAAATTTTGATTGATACAAAAAAAATTTTTAGAATGTTTTAATAATGTTAATAACCTTAAACTTAATATTAACTTCAAAATTTCATAACATAATGATACAAATTGCTGCCGTTTAATAAAAATTAATAAATAATAACTTAATATTCCTCAGGTAAAAATTTACATTTTTTATTTTAAACATCGTTTTGAACATGAATTTATGAAAACATACTTTGACATTTTTTACTAATTTAAAAATATTTTTTAATGTATTAAAATTTTTTGAATATTCTTAAATAAAATCAAAATTTATTAATAGAATTTAATTTTTACCTAAAAGCACTTTGGCATTTTGAAGTGTCGACCTTGTAAAATTTAAAATCTTTTTTAGATTTAAAAAATTAATTTTTTGTTAAATCCAACCACCCCACCCATAATTCCCCAATTCGGAAAAAAAAAATTTTTAATGCAAAAGTTTAGCTTAAACAAAAATAAAAGATTTTAAAATCTTCTTTAGATGTACTCATAATCTCTATATAGTATTTAAAAGTATTTTTTGGTCCTTTAAGATAGTTTTAAGTTTTTAAAAGATAAGGCTTTAGGTTAATTTTGAATTTTAGAGTCTTAAGAAGAAATTTCTGAAACAATTTTTAATTTTTTTTTTCTTCTAGATTGCAAAAGATTAATGAAAACAATTTACTCCATGAACAACTTGCTTTATCGCAAGAGCAGATAACTTCGCTGCGAAGAAAACTTGCCACGGAAAAGTTTGAAAGGTAGACTTTAATTCCAAAAGTAATTCTCATATCAATTGCCAAATTTTGTAAATTTTTTTATAAACTCAGTTGAACTCATGAGGAGGGCTGTCAAAAGTTGTAAAAATGCCTGCCCAGGTACCCATCGAATAAACAGGCGAATACTCGGGTACCCGTTCGAAAAACTTAATGTCCTTTTAATAAACAGTCAATAAAAACTTTTCATTTAATGTCATTTATTTAAAGTTGTTCTTTTTCATTTATATCTAAACTTTATTTTACTTTAAGTGTTCAGGTTACAAGTCAAAATTACGGTTTAGAAATATTAGCGTTTCTACCGATTCGGGTGCCAAAGATGCACGCTGTCGATCGACAACATGACCAGCAGTCGCATTCTGATGGTACTGAATGTATGTGTAACACTGTGTATGGATATTTACTTGTGCGCATAATTGCATAATTGTGTCTTCCATCTTTCAGGTTTTGAAAGAGTTTTGTCCGAAAAAAATTGGAAGGAGTTCGAAAGAAAACATTGTACATAAGAATAAGTTTAATGAAAGTTTAATGAAAATTAAGAAAAAAGAATTTTATCGAGTTCTTATTCATAAATATCGTGGTAGTGGTCGCCTCAGATAAATATGAAATTTGTTTAACTTTTTCTTACGGCGGTTTGTCAAAAATAATATGTCCGAGGGTTTTTTTCAGAAAAAAAAATTCAAGTAATTTTTAATTTGAGTGTTAATTTTGTAATTAATAATGAAAATTTTTATAAATTTAGTATTTTTCTTTTCATAGAGAGGTGATGCAGAATGATTTACGGCGGCAAAGCAAATCTTCATCTAGTAAGTTTAGTAGTAAAATATTCTTCAAAAGAAGAATTTTTGATGCTCTAGTTTCTTATTGATTTTTATTTAATAAATTAGGTTAAATTTTTTTTTATATACGTAGATAGTAAAGAAAGTAAAAGTGTTGACACAGATAATAGTGAGCAATTCATTGACGTTTCAAGAAGCAGCAAATCTCCTCAAAGCCTTACGAATGCTTCGTCTCCTGATTCTAATTTTCCTAAATCTATGGATAAAAGCATGCAGTTCGCTGACACTGAAAAAAACAGTTTATCGAACATTACAAATGCTCCATCTCCTAATTCTAATTTTCTCTTATATTCTCCTTTGAACACTGTAAGTTTGTTAAAGTTTAACAAGACTTTCTTAAAGAATTGAAAAAACCTATGGGTTGAATCTTTTTGTAAAATATAATTTTATAGTAATTTTTTTTTATCTAATTTTTTAAATTATCTTTGGTTTATCTTATTTTTACTTTTAGACTCCTTCGTCACAAAGTGAAAAAAAAACATAAAGTGTGTATAAATATTCGGAAACTGCGAATAAAATCTACAAATCATAAGTAAAATTCATAAATTACGAATAAAATCCACGAATCACAAGTTAACTGTCGCCAGGCACCATCATACACTTTGTACATACGTATAAATTCAATTTGTCCATATTTAAATATATTTTTTTAATTATATATTTTATATGTAAATATACATTAAAATTTATTCAATCTGAAAACGATTATGTTTGTCTTAATCATTTTTAAAAACTCGCGCATGCGTTTACTTATTTTTTTTTATTTATTAAATCGCTTAATAAATTCGTATAATTACAAATAAACAGTTGTAATTTCTCCCTGCTATTTAAAATTATAATAATGTCAGCTCAGCTAATGTTAACTTTTGAAGAATATTGGTATAAATGTGTATTGAAATAAAAAGGAAAAAAAGGTAATTTTCCGCGTTCATTTCTGGGCAACATTTGACCGTGGTGCTGCAACATTAAACTCACATACATTGTTTAAGTGAGCCGCCCGGCTAATCAGGTTCCCCGCCTCATATAAATAGCCCCTAAGTCATTTTTGTTTTATTATGATTAATCAAATACTACAATGTTATATACCGTTTAAAAAATGTCGATATCATTAGAAGCGCCTTAAATGCAGAATCTCAAAGGTGAAAAAATTATCACAATCGAGCAATTCTACAAAATGTTTTAGTAACAAATTTCTGTTATAATTAGGGATGTACCGAAGCCGAATCTTTGGCACTATATATGCTTAAAATTTAATCAGCATTCAGATCAGCAGAGGTGTAAAACAAAAAAGGTACCAAAACTAAGGTCCTTGACTAATAATATAGAAAAACCATTAAAAAATGAGGATGCCAGTCAGGATTGCTGTCCCAGGCAGGGCAAAAACTCTCAGCGCCCCTGTTTGAAAGTTTCTCATTATGTTGTTTCTGATACTTGACCGCACCGAGCGTTTTTTTTTTTAAACTTAAGCTTTTTTAAAACATTCTCCCCAAATTTTCCTCCTTCTAGTTCTACTTTTTCTGTGTACAAGCCATATTTATGTTATATAGCATCTTTTCATGTGCTGTATATTTTTATTTTTAATTCACCTTTTGTTAATAGAAGTGGATAAAAATCTCTGAACATTACTAGAGTAAATTTATCTTTTGCACTTGATCATTCTTTCTTTAAATAAACACTCTTAGCTGATCTAGTTGTATCTACAACATAAAAAATCTTACAAACACACTTTTATCTTTTTATTGCTATTTATTTCAATATATTTTTTTACTTATCTGTATTCATAAAACGAACAATCTCTAAACTAAAAAAAACCCAAGTTAAGACCATTTTGTATTCCACTACAACTGTTGTGAACCTGCTGCTAAAAAAAAGTACAAATGATAGATTTCTCTCTAACTTCTTTTTTACACACTTTTAAGTTTTTTTTTTTTTTTTTTTTTTTTTTTTTTTTTTTTTTTTTTTTTTTTGATTATTTTTAACTTTACACTACATAACATTTTTTTTTTTTTTTTCTGTTTACATTTGCCGTAAAATAAATACTATATTTTACAAGAACAAAGAAACAAGGCTTCTGAAAGAAGATCTACTGATCTTATCATCAGAACCTTTACAATTTTATCATACCATAAAAACTGAAAATATAAATCCAAAAACGGCCGTAATAATAAATATATAATAATAAATTCATAATATTAATCACGTATCTGTAATAATAATTCTCACAAATCTGTTATAATAATCCATAATAATAAACTTTATAGATCTGATATAAATTAAAGAAAATAAATTTATTAATATAAATATTATTATAAATCTCATAAATCAAGTTTATACTTCAAGCTAATAGTAACTTAAAATGTTATCCATAGCAAGAATAGATTTTTTTAATTCATTTTTAAAAACAGAAAAACGGATAAAAGGATCAAAATTAGGCAGAACTATTTTATTCCAAAGGTAAGGTGCTCTATAATTAATACAAAATTTATTAAAATTTGTTCTACAAAATGGTTCATTTAGCAAATCTTTATTTCTTAGTGAGTACTTATTAGTAAGTTTTAATGTAAAAAGGTCGTTAAAAACATGTAGGGATAAATTGTTTTTCCACATATAAGTAAAACATAAAACATTGAAAACATTAATTTTGTAGACATTAAGTATTTTCATTTCATCAAAGAAAGGCTTTGAATGTGTAGAGCGATCCACATAATTAATCACGCGAATCGTTCTGTTGGCGATATAGACGTTGTAGTTTACTTTTTTCGGTACTACCCCATGCAATATTTGCGTAGTTTATATAGCTGTGTATGAATGAGTAATAGAGCTGCGTAAGGCTTTTTTTGCTTAAGTAAGGTCGGGCTTTATACAAAATGCCAATATTTTTAGATACCTTGGTGGTTACATGATTAATATGGTTTTTCCAAGTAATATTCTCATCAAGATAAACACCTAGGAATCTTATAACAGAATCTCTTTTTATAAGAGTTTCATCAATATAAATTTGAGGCATAATATCTGGTAAAGAACGTTTTTTTGAGAAGGAATGAAAATGAATCCATTTAGTCTTGTTAGTATTTAACGTTAATTTTTTACATTTAAACCATTTAGAAATGTTTATAAGTTCATTATTAGTTTTTGAGAAAAGTTTGTAAACATCAGTGTGGGATTGAAATAAGTCATCGGCATAAATAATACTCATCAGGTTAGAGGCTTTGTTTAGATCATTGACATATATAAGAAATAGCAGCGGTCCAAGAATAGAACCTTGTGGAACACCACAGGTTATATTTAAGGATCCACTTTGAACGTCATTATTTCTATAGACTACTTGCTTACAATTTGTTAAATAGCTTTTAAACCACGCTAAAGTATTATTGTTTAAACCGTAATATTTCATTTTTTGTATTAAAATATTATGGTCAACCGTATCAAATGTTTTTGATAGATCTATAAAAATACCTAATGTATATTGAGCTTTTTCAAAGGATTTGGAGATGTTGCGTACAAATTGAATAATGGCATGCTCAGTTGAACTATCTTTTTTGAAGCCGAATTGATTATTGCATAGTAGGTTATTGTAATTAAAATAATTATTAACTCTGTTAAACATAATTCTTTCTAGGATTTTGGAGAATACAGATAGGATAGAGATGGGGCGGTAATTATTGATATTGGATCTGTCGCCTTCTTTGTGAATTGGAATAATTTTAGCAATTTTTAAGCGCGCAGGGAAAATTCCTTGTTGGATGGATGCTTTGTAGATTTTAAATAGAATATTTTTAATTTGTTCATAGCAATCTATAACTATATTTCCGTTTATTTCATCAGGCCCAGTTGCTTTATTTTTTTTTAAGGTTTTAAAAGCTTTTTCAAACTCTTTAAAGGATAATTCGGACAAATAATTGACCAAATGCCTTTATCAAGAGGTGCTAAAAAATCATGAAAAGAAGTTTTGATAATTGGAATTTTATCTGATAGGGTTGGACCAATTTCAACAAAATATTTATTAAACTCATTAGCTATAATTTGTGGATTGTATAAAATTTTGTTATCGATTTTAAGCATGTGTGGTAAAAAACTTGAGCATGTTTTTTTTTTCCCAATTATTTCTTTTAGTATTTGCCAAGTGCGTTTTAAGTTATTTTTTGTTTCATTAATCAAATTTGAATAGTAGTTTTTTTTTTAACTTTTCCGGTGTTGTATGAGATTATTACTCCCGCGATTTTTTAACTCCCCAGTAAAAATCTCATATTAAATTTTTACTCCCCAGTAAAAACCGCTTATCAAATTTTTACTCCCCAGTAAAAATCTTATATTAAATTTTTACTCCCATTATGATATTTTTACTCCCATAAAAATAATATGCGGCAAAACGTATTTTTGTAACAAAATCACGTTGTATTTTGAGAATAGTTTTCAACGTTTTAATTACTGCGGTTTCTTGAAAAGCAATAAGAAACGAATCTTTTTATGCAGTGGCTTTCATAATTTTAAAAATTTAACTATGCATACTGAATTTGCCAACGTTTATAATTTTTTAAAAAGATGCATATATCCAAAGACAGCTATTAGTAAAGGCGATAAGTCGAACTTTCGAAGAAAAATAAAACCATTTGTAATTGAAGATAATGAGCTGTATCATCTGGGTAAATCTGGCGTTAAGGTAAACAGTTTATATAATTAGAGTTTTTTTATACTAGCGTGGTTTGCGATAAATACATACATTTTTATGTATGTGTTTAAGTATCACGTTTTACATAATAACGTAATACATAATAATATCATGTTTTACATAATTAAATAAAACCTTGTACTTTATTAGTATAATACTGCCGTGATAAGGAAAAACACAGTAATTGTAAAAATATCCACTTTGCACTCTTTTAATAAATATATATATATATATATATATATATATATATATATATATATATATATATATATATATATATATATATATATATATATATATA